TTGGAATGAAAGCAGGGCTTTTCAGTCACCCCAGAGAACTGCTCCGGATGAACTGCCTGAGAAACCAGAGCCGGGGGCAGCAGTTAAGGTCCTGGCTTTGGTGCGGATGTGCAGAAGCAGGACTCGGCGCAGAGAAGGAGGTGAAGGAAAAGAACCCTTTTTGCCTCCAGCTGTTTAGGGCTACCTCAGTGAGGAGTGGTGGGTGAGCAGAGCGACAGGGGGTGGCCGTGGTCAGCCATGGTCCCTTCCATCGTTTCTGGGTCCTTCCTGAGAAATGTGTTTCTCTCTCCAGACATGTAACCTGCTGCGTTTAGCAAGCTGAGGCAGGATCAGGAATTCAGGCTTTTAATTACACTCGAGGGACTCTCGTGAGATCAAATCCCACATCCTGATAGAAGGCAGCAGGGAAGGCTCCCGAAGGCAGTCGCGTGCAGCTACTGATGTGCAGATTTCAAAACTGGAAACATTTCCCCATAGAATCGCTCTTCCCTAAATATTACAACTGCCACTTACTGATGCTGCTGATGTTGGAAAAAGGTTGAAGAATCAACTCCAAGGCCCATTATTCTTTTCGCTACCAGCTAATGAATTTTCCCTCTGCCCTCCTACATTAATTTTCTTCTAGCAGGAGACTCCTTTTCTCCGATGACTTTCAACTATCTCTGGTGTCGGAGCTCTGATACCTAGTTAGTGCAATCTGTAAATGCGACTCTGCAGATACTGCTCCAGGGCAGATTTTGACCCTGAGCGCTTCCTTCAAAAATAAATCCACAAAGAGCTGTGCAAAGAATATAGGCTGGGGCTGCACCAAGAGTCGATGTGGGAAGCAGGAAGGGCAGCGTGGTGGTGGTCGAGTTTACCCTGCCACACACACTTGTTTTGGCATAAAAATACTCCGTTATGCCGACGTATTGTCACGTTGTGCAGCTTTAATATGGTTCACAAGTTATATTTGTTTGGGCTTTTTCCCACAAAGTGCCTGTTACTGAAGTTATGCCGTCTGAGAAACTTGGCTTTTTTATTTTTTTCCCCCTAAAAGTAAGTTTCTACTTCATGATTCAGAACAAAAGCTTGAAAATATGATTTAAATGTATTTTAGAGATTCAGAAAAGCAGAAGATAAATAACTCATCATGTATTATTTTTCTGAAAGATAATACCTCATGTTTTTGTGAGGGCTGACTCGTGACTTAAATGCTGCCGGTTGGCAGCACTGTTGTTATAATTTATGACTAAGTTTGATTATTTTTTTTGTTGTTATCAGTCATATCTACATATATATATTTATATACATTGCAAAATGAATACATGTAACGCATGTTTGTACTGTAGGAGCTGTTTTCTCTCTATTGGGACTGACAGCTGTAGAGATACAGCGTTAGCGTGGAGGGGGAAGGGGCAGAGGTGTGGATGGGGTTTGGATGTGCTGCCTCTGTACAGGGGCATAGAGAGGGTGGGGAGCTGAGACCCAGCCAGCATCTTCTGCTCCCCACATTGAGCATGTCTATTTCAGACTTGCTCAGGAGTTATTGGCCCTCTTCTTGCTAATTTAAAGGTCGCCATACCTCGTCTAAAGCAGGATTTGTGGCTCGTGCAGCATGAAGGCCTCCTCCTGCGCTGCTCCGAGGGCTGAGGGCGGCGCTGGAAAAGGAGACAGAGCTCCTCACTCCCTGCCCCTGCCTTCAGGACTGCACCTCTTCACGGTGTTTTTAATGAGTTAGCCATCTCCCAGCAGGTTTGGTGCTGAGCGAGGTGCCGTCCGTCCACTCGTAAGCAGCCTCGCATAGAACAGAAGCTTGATGCCAGGAGCTTTGGCTGATCTGACAGCCATGGGCCTGCAGCTGGCCTGGATAACTCGTGCTCGGTGTGCACGTGGCAGTGTGAGTTATCCCTGTCCGCAGAGCTATGTCTCAGCTCATAAACCGCTCAGCATCCTCACTGCAGCACCCAAACAGCCCTAACTCAATCCATTCACCACCAGCCACCTCTGAGTGGTGAGGGCAGGGGCCAGGCTGGGGCAGCATCCCTTGCCTGGGGCACCCCGGCTCTACAGACCTGCAGGAGGGACGCAAATGTTGGCAGGAGGATTCAGCTTGCTTTCCTTCCACAGCACCTTCCTCCAGCCCCAGGAGCCTTCTTCCTCCCCACAAAGAAACAAAATACCATAGATAAATGCATTTATTGAGGTGCTGCAAGGTGGGACATGTTGTCATAAAGTACGCTGCAGAAAGCCGCAGTCCAGTGAGCAGTACTTTTTCTGTAGGTTCTCTTCCATGTGGAAAATACAGGATTTTGTGTGCAGAATTCTCTCTCTTGGTGCAGAACTTATCAGGGGTTTGCAGTTTAGTAAAGCCTTGGTTTTGCAGCAGTGAGCAAAATCTATGCAGGAAGCCCATGAAAAACTATAGTAAAAAGGACTCATGCACCCCGAATGTGGTGAACGGTGACTGCAAAGCAGCACTCCCTTCACTGAGAACTTTTGTCTGCTGGGAGAACAGAACAGAGCTGTGGGTGTGGAACATGCTGTGCCGCAGTCATGGCACCGCAGAGTGGAGCTGGGCAGAGGGTTCAGCTCTGCCTGCCCCGGCAGCGCGGCGTCAGATGGGGCTAGGCTGGTGAACACCCTGAGAGTGTGTCCTGCTGCACTGCCCTGAGCTTCTTTAATTAGCTGCTTGGCTCCTTTTCTGATCCCACAGTTCACAGCTGTGTCTTCCAGTTTCAGGAGGGCTTTCTGAAGCTCAAAGTTCAGCGCTTGCCTGGCTTCCTGGTGTCCCTGAAGTCCTGGTGCTGTGGCATTCGATCCATCAGCTCACCACGTGCTCGTTGAACCAGCAAGCAGGCAGCTACTGCGCTGCTAATAAATGCTCCGCAGGAGCCAGGAGAGTTTGTTTGAATGCGTATAGCAAGAGCACTGGAAATTTGATTTACAGTCTTTGGAGCCTCCTAAGGATTGCATTTCAAAATTAGGAAGGGAAAACCTATTTTTAACATCTTGGAGGATGCACAGAAAGGAGTAACTGCTTGCTTTACTTGCTTGACTTACACTTTTGTTCTCTCCCATCTAAACATGTTCTTGGTGCTTCGTTATTTCAGCCTGGGAAATTCCTGAAGGTTGCCTAGCTGGGAGATCTGGGGTGACATTTAGTTTAAGCTTTTAGACTAAAACCTATTTGAATGAAATTCTTCCTACGCTGTTTAACCACTTTGCTGATGTTCTTTCTCTGTTTTAGTAGAGCTCCACAGATCTAATCTGTACATGTACTTTTGGGCCAATAAAGAATCGTTTCAATCAATTTATTTCCCCAAATAAATTTAATAAGGTTTCCATTATATGTATTTGATTTTTTTTTTTCAGTGATAAATCCTTATATAAACCTCTTGATAAAAGGATTCTGTAATTTCAGTCGTGACAAATGACATGGGGACCAACAAACCATTCAGATCAAGGCAGCGCCTGTGGAAGCACAGCCTCTGCTCTTCAAAAATTTTATAAAGTTACAGAAACCATGAGGGCGTGAACACATCTTCTTGCTCTCAAGGTACCCATGACATTTTCCAGCATATAGCTAGATCCTTCCCAGAGGCTGAAAGTACACAAAGGAAATCATGGGAAGTTTCACACAGCGTAACGAGTTCTCTGCCCTCGAAGGGGAGCACCGGGAACCCTCCTAACATGATTCTAAATCATGCTGCACTGGCATTGGCAATTTGGCCACGATAGTTGAGCAGGTTTGGAGTATGACAGAGAAGTGTGTGACCATTTTATTAGTTCAGAAGGCCAGCGCATGGGCACATAACAGCAAAAGGGGTTATGAACAAATAAAGCACCCATTTGGGTATATGTGGTATAGTCAGGGAGCCTGCAAATCAAAGCACGAGCTAAAGAGCAGATGAAAGAATACTTGCACTTTAGGTGGTTTTCTTGATGTTGCTGTTTTTCTTTTTTTAATGTTAAAAATTTGAAGAGTCTTAAGGACTGGTGGTCTCTGGAGGTTGGTTATTCTGTAATTGTATAAAAGAGACCCTGGACTTTTGTTTGTAAGGAAGGATCTTTAATACACATGTGAATACTGAAGGTAAGTAACTGTGTCCAGCTCTCTTGAGAGACAAATTCATTGCTGCGGCAAAGGTTTTCCATCATATCGCTATAATTTGATAATTTCGGTGCTGCTGGTAAGGGAGTCTACAGCAAAAGCTTAGAGAATTATCAGCTAATAGCTCCTGCAGGCCTGCAGCAGATATTAAACTCGAACTTTTATGAAACTGGATTTTCTTCTACAAAGCGGTAAAAAGCATACTGAACCTGTGCTCAAAGAGAAAACATTCTCTCTGCTTGCAGGGGGAGTGTGGCACCCGCTGCTTCAACGCTGCCCTGGGCCAGCAGCTCGCAGCGTTGGCCAGTCCCTTGGGCAGAGCTGGCACTGGCACAACTTTACTCCAGTTCGTGCCTGGTTTCTCAGCTGCAAGGATGCAGCCACAGCCTGCTTGGTGTTGGTGGAGGGCAGCAGAATGTCAAAGGTTCTGGAGAAAATGTGACGGGCACCTTTGCTTTGGGCAAGAGTTGTAGTTGGTAACAGCATACCTGCAACCCCAGAGCTCAGGGGCTGTATGTTTTTGCAACACAGAGCTGTGATTCAAGGTTTTTGCTACTGATTTCAGTAGGCTTAGGGTCATGTGCAGAAGTTGTAATAATGAGCAATTTAATAATGAAACTGTAGGTTGACAAGCATGAGGAAATAAAGGGCATAAGGAAAATATAAAAAAATAAAAATGGAATCTAACCTGCACTGGCACACTCTTGCTTGTAGCTAATGCACTGAGCAGATGGCATTATTAGGAACAGAGGCAGATACTCCAGTCACTATCTCGTTAGATAAATTTGGAATTGAGATGAACAATCAAGCAACATCCTTGGTATCACCTAGGTAAAGAAGAAAGATTTCAGTGTCAAAAAATATTAAAAAAAAAAAAAAAAAACCAGGAAAAAAACAGCTGAGGGAATACCAGGTATTTTGAGTGACCTTCTGTTTTAATATATCTGTGGAATATGGGAAGTTGCCTTCATAAAAGCAATACACTGCAAAATTGATTATTTCAGTGCCAGCCATAGTGTATCAGCTGGCATTTGTGTGCTACTTTCATGACTTGCACGATGAGAATAAATCATATATCATATCATATTTTAATCGCCCAAGTTTTATAGAAGAGCTCTCTGCGAGCTAAATGAGGCATGGTGAATACCCTTGCAGCTACTTATTAATACCTAAATTCTCTGCCTTGGTAAAGTTGCTTTGGTCTACAGGTACTTGCTTGAACAAGAGAATTTTGATAGAGGACGAGCAAACCTGGGCCAGCTGTTTACAGCACCTGCATTTTATCTGCTTAGTGAGGCTCCTACCGCAGAAGATTCCCAGGCGCTGGCAATGAGGACTGACCCTGGGGTTTGTAGGCATTGCAGCTATTTATTCTGCTCCCTTGAGGTAAGAATTCACAAAATAACCTTAGACTGCAAAATATGGGGCCTCTGGAGGCTGGATCCATCCTTTAAAATTGTTGCAATTTTTTAAATGAGTGATAATCAGGCACCCTCCTAATGTGCCCGGTGACTGTCATCCTGACTTGAGCACCCTGCTGGCTGTCCAAAGAGTTGCTGTTGTCTCTGCACTTCAGCCTCTGGGTGCTGGGTGAGGCTCCCTCGCCAGCTTCAGCAGGCTTGGTGCAGCAGCCAGCACTTGGGGTTTGTCAGAGGTGTAGATGACAGCCCCTTGTCCTTCTGCTGGCCATCGCCACCTGCCTTGCAGCCTCACCAACAGGTGCCCCAGAGGCACTCTGCAGTTGCTGAGAGGCTTGCAAAATCACCCTTCTCGGGGAACCAGACATTCAGAAGAATGTTTGTGAGCTAGACCAGCAGAAAATAGGCCAGCTGCCCCCAAGCGCTGAGAATTCAACACTTCTAGCAGTGAGCTGCCTCTTATTTTCATACCTAACGGAAATAAAATGTTCTGTACAGTCCTGGCAGCAGCACCTCTTCTAAAATATGACATGGTGATAGGGTTTGTGGAGGACTGGTTAGTGTTAGGTCAGAGGTTGGGGTAGGTGATCTTGGAGGTCTCTTCCAACCTAGGTGACTCTGTGATGATGTGGCCTGTTAAGGAGATAGCTGGGTCAAGAAGTCCCCATCATGGCATGAGGCCTAGCAGGAGGCATCTGAGCACTGGAAGGCACCCCAGTTGGTAGGTTCCAGGGCACGAAGAGACCTCCATTGGTAGAAAGCTGAGTTTCAGCACATAGTGTGGTAAAGGTTTGACGGCAGTAATCTTGTGGTGAATGTTTCTCCTTGTAGCCTACAAGATGGCCTACTGACAGATCCTGCCAGAGCGCAGAAGCTAAGAAGCCCTTAGTTGTTACCAAGCCATGGTGATACAAGAAAGAAAATCTGTTTGCACTTCCCCCCTGGATTTTCACAAGGTTTCTCTGACCACTGTGAAAACAGAAAACCACACCATGGGGTTGTTTGCCTGTGTGGGTAGAGGCGTGGTGTGCTCAGGTGGATGCGGTTGTTCCATCACAGGTCAGCCCTGCAGGGCTGGGGGAGGCCACGTATGGGGCAGGAGAGCAAATCGCATCAAGGAGAGAGCAGAGGGAGACAGGTATTTGCAATCAGGGAAAGAGGAAATAAATCCCCAGCAGCTGAGAAGAGCTGGTTTGGCTCGGTTGCAGTGTGGAGAGCAGTGAGCTGAAGCCAAGCCTGTGGAGGAGGAGAAGAACTCACCTGGACTATGGTAGGCTGGAGGAGAAAGTTTTAAAACTTTTACATTTTGTTTTGTCTTTGGAGTTTTGTGCTTTTGATGCTGTAGAAAAATTAATTAGTGTAACTTGGTTTCTATGGGAGTCTGACTCTTTCAACTTGAAAGATATTTTATTTTTTCGTGGTTGCATGCAATAAGGGAAAGGTCTAGGTAAACTTGCCTCAAAGCCTTGTCTGATTTATGATCCTGTCTTGCCTACCTTATTTTTGATGTGAACTTGTGGGCTAGTACCCAGTGCTACTTACATGTGTGTATATATATATTGCATTTTAGCAAAATGAAAGCAGGCTGGAAGGAAACGAAATATCACTCTAACTCATTCCAGGTCAGCTTGGTTAATTAAAGAGAAAAACGTAGCCTGCAGCAAAGACCAATGGGGTCTAAAGCGTAGAGAACAAGCAAAGATAAAAATATATGTAAAAATAACTTGCTTTTGATCATCACAGAATTCCCTTTCTTAAACTCAAATCCCTGTCCATCCAGCACCGTTACAATTCCTGCGAATTTCAGTAGCAGTTCAGCTGTTTGAAGCCCGCTGTGATGGACAGCATTTGTTTTACGGCCTTGTTTGGTGGTGTGGGGGGATAGAGCTGGTTGTTGGGGGTGGTATTTCTGCAGGGGAGTAAATGGAGAGGAGAGCCCCTGGGGAAGGGATGTCTCTGTCCTCATGGGGAGAGCTGCGGGGTGAGGGGGGCAGAGGAGGCTGCAGGGGCTGGGGGAGCTGGGCAAGGGGAGGGGGAGGCCTGGGGAACCTGGATGGCCTTGGAGCATGCTGAAACAAGCCTTAAATAACAAAGTTTCTGGGAGACACAGGGTGTTTTATGGGGTTGGCACCAATGCTGGAAGTTGTTAAACCAGGTTAAAAACAAAGCAGGCTTCTTTTTAAAAGCCTACTCAGTTCTACTGGATTTGTTTCCTCGGTTTTAGAACTGCACCCATCAGCTGCCTGTTCAAAGAAAAATTGGTGTTCGGACTCCAAAGCTCACGAGGTCCAGAAAGCTGTTGCTTGCTCCGACTGTGCTGCGTGTGTCTCGTTTGGAGGGCAGTCCTGGGCCTTGCTCACCACAAAATGTTAATCAAAGATGTAACGAAGATGTGGAAGTTGGGCTGTGAGCGGAGGCTCTGACTTCAGGGACTTCATCTTGCTTGTGTGTAGCTTTTTTTTTTTATCTTTCCAGTGATCCTTTCTGATAATGAGAATGTGAGTTATTCAAAAGGATTTATAAGTGTTGACAGTGAATTATTATTGGTCTATTGAGTGTTTAAATTGCAAATATTATACTCAAAAGCATGCTTTACGAGGCAAGCTCTTCTTGAAAGATTTATGACTACAGTCACATAGGGTATAGTAAATTCAGCATTGAATATGAAGCTGTATCAGTCACAGCCTTCCTTACTGGATTACTGTTTGCATTACTTGTGAGAGCTGCTACCTGCTCACGACTCCTCAGCAAATTTCCTTGCGTGTGTGGCAGAGGCAGGAGAAGTTTTTTCTGGAAACCAGAAGTCGTCAGCTGACGTGGAAGGGCTGAAATCTGCTGGTTGTGTCTTGGGGCACGCTAGCAGAGGTGTGCTGCTTAAGTGGCAGGTGTTGAAGTCAGGAGCGAGTTGCAGCCCGTGGAAATGCCTTCAGCTGTGCTTCTGGACACCTGCTGGTGGCCAAAGCAGAAACAAACAGAAATTAAAGTAAGTAATGCCGTGTCCTCCGAGATGTATGGTTTTGTGATGGACTGGCTGTGCTTTTTGGGTGCTTTTCTTCAGAAGTAGATGGAATTTACTAATAATTTGTTAGCATCTGCGATTCACGTGCTCACTTCTAGTTCTTCAGCTTGATGGCAACAGCTGATGTGCTGCAGCAGAAGCAGCATCCCCTGCCCCATCCACGTGACACTGAACTGAACGCTGCTGAATAGTGAGTGACCCTTGAAATCCAATCTAATTTGAGTGAATTCCTTGGGTACGTCTCTCGCCTTTCCATATTCACGCATACCAAAAGTAATCAAAGTTGCCTTTCTATTCATTTTCTTTTGTATGACAGCCTAAAAGAGTTTTGGAGTGTAATTTACAGTACAGCTTCTGTGCTTTGCTCCATTCTGAAATAATTAGGAGATTATTTTGGTCAATATGCCTGAACTATGATTTAATGCTTTTCAATGGCTAGTTGCATTAGTGACTCTTTAAGGATTAGAAGCTTAATGAAATGCACACATCAGAGCAGTGGTTTAATCTTTTTCTCATAAAATCTTCACAACAAGATGATAAACCGTAAGAGCAAAAAATCATTTTGACAAACCTGTCTAGCTTTTGGGCTGTGTGTAGTCTGAGATAATTACCTGTGGGCCACTTCTGTCATATGGGGGATTTCTGAAAGGGCAACTTTCAGTTAAATATATAAATAAAGAGTAAGAAGTTTCTTACTCTTAATTTCTGGCTTTGCTGTTGCCTACGGAGCAATCTCCCTTCCTTATGTGCTGTGATGGGTATGCAAACATCTCAAAGCACGTGTTTGCTGACAAGTCACGTGGAACTTTTCAGTGTTTTATTAAAAAAAAATCCTTAAATATTACACTGAAAGGAATTGCTCTTGTAAATCAACTAGTTCTGAGTCCATTTTCAAAATGTAACAGTGGAACAGCACGGAATTAACAACCTGACAGGCTTGGTGACTTGATTGCTCTCTTCTGAAGCAGTTTAGTCTCATTCTTATCAGTCAGGCAAAATCTCTTGCTCACCAAGCTGTGCTTCTCCAAGGCTGAGAAGGGAAAGGCTTCGTGTGGTAGCTGTGCATGGCCTGTGTGAAACCAGCTTCGTGTTCCAGGCCAGTTTGCAGTACATAAGCAGCTCTTGCAGCCTGCATAAATGTGGTTGCTACTTCACGCCTGTACTGAAGCCATTTTTTTCCTTATTTTCCTCCATTAACTGGGGGGGATACAGGTAATAATAGATAGAAGGAAGAGTCCTCTTGTAATTGATCCTATACCCTGCAGCCTTCCAACTCATGGCGCTTCCTGCAAGTATTTAACTCCTGAATGCAGCTGGAGAAGGGATTTATGCTGCAAAACCGGAAACTGAAAATTTGAATAACTTATTTAAACTTGCAAAAAAATGTTTTTGACCTTGGGCTAAATCTGTAGTGCTGGCCTTCTGCAAGCTGCGATTTCTGGAGGAGGACTCAGATGCTACAGGACTTGGTCTCCTGTCTCCACAGAAAAAAGATACCGTGTCCCCAGGCTGTGCTTCAGAGGTGGAGGTGTTGCACGTGTGCACTGGGGTCCTTGCTCCTGGACTTGGATGCCTAGAAGAAAAATATATTTGACAGGAAGGTGAATGGGATGTTGTGAGCATAACAGAAGTTACGTTCTTTAAAACATCTTTAAAAAAGATGGAGTAGAAGAATAAGGTCGCTGAGGTTAGTTTCTCCTCAGACTTCATTCTGAGCCTTGTGTGTTCCTTTCGATTAGAGCTTTTCTGTGGGCACTGTTGAATTGCTTTGTCAATGGTTAGAAAGTGGGTAGCGCCCCTTAAATGCTGTGGTTCTGCCAGAAATAATGTGGACGGACAGTCTATGGTATGGTGAGTATAAGAAGTTACACACTTTAAATCTTTCCAGCAGTTTTTGCATGCTTTTTTTGTAGCTCAAACACAGGGGAAGCTGGGGATGGAAGGGGAGCATCTCTTTCTTAGATTTATATAGCAGTTTGGGGAGGAGGAGAACTAGCATAGGGGAAATCTCATTTATCATTGGTACTACTTCTAAACCTGGACTTGTAAGACAGATGTGAGGAGGATGAATAAGACTCCAGGGAGGCTGAAATGTATTTTCTTAGGGATAATGGCAAGACTTGCTATAGAGCTCCTGTTTCCGTAGACTGGATGCCCTTAAGCTGCTATGCTGACATCTCTCTCTGTATTTCTGTCTTCCTGGTAATCAAAGCCAGAATAATTCTCAGTTACTACATTTAAATGAACTGCATTCTGGTATTGTGGTTCAGCTGAGATTTTTCTAGCAAGTTAGGTGTTGTAGCGCACTTTGAGCTTGAATGTAATACAGAGAATGTGTATCTACTGGTTACCAAAGCAAACTCGCAGTCCGAGGAATATTTATGTATTTGACTTCGAGATGTTTAGCTGAAAACTAAATCAGTTACTTAAACTGATTTAGAAAAAGGAAAATATTGGTGTTTTTGAAAGTAGACAGGTTATAAATACATGCCTTTCATCAGAAACCTGTGCCAAAGCAAGTAACTTAGAAGTTGTTTTTTGACTTTTTTTTAAAAATCCATAATTTAATATTTGCTTCCTAATAATCTAATTGACTGAGCTCAAATGTTCTGACCTATGTCTGACTGTGTTTTATGTACAATGTGCATAGCCTGGCAAGATGCACTACTGCAACCTTTTTTCTTCTTTACCTCTGGGGTGAGGGGATGCTTGAACAGCTCTCCCCATCTCTGAGATGCTACCAGCTCATGCTTTGCTAACTGAGCTGCCCAGCTACACTGCCTCCTCCTTTATGCTTGTTCACTGTCTGCCTTCCTTGCCTTGGTGCATATAATAAGAAAGTAGCTGACTCCAAGTAGTATTTTGAGGGCACAGTCCTGATTTGGATGCGAATTGAGAGGTGGTGTGAATGTAACCACATCTATGGGTTAGGGATGATGCCAGGTGGTCAGGACAAGGTATAGGAAACAGAGGAAGGGGGAGTGTGATCTTGTTGTCTCCATAAACAAAGCCTGTAGTATAATAAATGGCTGAATGAACCTGCTGGTAATGAGGAAAATAACAGCTATGGGAAAATCATGAGCTTAATGTATCCAAGGTGGGACAGTTTAACAGGAGCAGGTAAGAGCCGTATTCTCAAGCTTCTTGAGAATGAAGTAATGACAAACAAAAATCAATTTTTCTTCAGTATGCCTGGTAATAAAAGCTGTTCCCTCTTTAGAAGTCTAGCAGCCCCAGAAATCAGGAGATGAAAGTACAGACCTGGGAAGGATCTTAAGAGAGTAGTACCTGCCACAGACGAGCTGCCCTGGAAATCATTTCAAGTTGGCTAACGGCTGAGGAGGCAAGGTGGGACTGGAGCTGTGCGTGGGGGAGAGCTTGTTTGAAGAGAAGCAGCACACAGCTCATTAAGGTATGTGCTGCAGGATAGACCAGTCTGTGGCATTTATAATGGGAACTCGCAGGTGGCTGCTGGCAGGAAGCAGCTGAGAGGGGCTCCGAGCTGCAGGAATTCCTGGCGGCAGAAGCCAGAAATGTGCAAGGCTTCTGCCTTGGCTGCAGGGGTTAATGAGCCTTTCCCTTATAAAGTGCTCAAGTTTCTGAGTGCTTCCAGTGGGGTAAGGATTAATTCCCATGTCTCCTCACCTGTTGAAATCGTAAGTGGCCTGGTGTCCAGGACTGAGGTATTAATAACATGTCACAGGCACAAAGAACTGGCTTTTACAAGCTCAGGTAAATAAACTGGGAGCAAGAAGGGAAAACAAAGGAATTTTTGCCTTCCTTTGGAAGAAGGCAGGCTCCCGTGAAGCAATAGAATTGGCCATAAACTGTTAGTGTATGGACTTGTGTTGTTGGAAATCAAATAATAAGCTTTTCAGAAGTGCAGAGAGAAATTAAATGTCCTGGTGAATGGGGAAGTGGCCATGCATGCTAACAGAGGATAAGCCACGAGCTGGTCCCTGCTGAGGGTGTATTGCAGTAACAAAAGAAGGAAATTGCTGAATTCAAGGATTCTGGGCCAAAGGCAAATCTGCTTGCAAGAAACTAAAACTACCTTTGGGGATAGCTTTCAGAATGGATCGTAGCCAAAGGCAGGGCTCTGGGAAGAGCTGACTTGCAGCCAGCCTGGGTGAAGGAGGCTGGGTGTACCGAGCAGACCTCCTGGGGAGGAGGCGGGGGTCCAGCCGAGATGCTAGAACACAGGGCGGCTGCTGCTTGTCCTCAGGGAGAGCGCTGGGACACGAGTGTCAGAAAGCGAGGACAGCATCAGAACACGTGTTATGAACGGAGCAGTGCAGGTAGCTGAGCTAGATGTGCCTCGGCACGTACAGGGTATGAAACTGTTCTGAATGAAGTCTTCAGCTTAGGGGGTTCCTGCGCTCTGAGCGCACCCGACTTGCTGCATGTGCTGCCTGTTAGTGTCCTTGTGGCTGGAGGAGGAGAACTGGCAGTCAGCTGGCTGCGATGCGTGTGAACAGCTAGGCAAAGGTTTAATCCAGTTTAAATGCTATAAAATGGTTTATCCCAAGGGAAACATGGAACTTTCTGAGACAAGGAACTCTGTTTAAAGACCCGTCCTCTAGTGAGGCTTTCCATACCAGCTTTCCATCCTGGCAGGAATGACTCTGAGCATCCCTCACTGGAAGAGGTGGCTCAGAGATGATGACAACCAAGTTCTTACTCTTCCTGGACTCAGAAGTGAAATCCTTGAGAAGGGAAGGATGCACTTGGGGCAGCACAATGCACTAGCCATGTTGCTGTCTGAGCACACGTACCCTGCAGGCCTATTAAATGGGTTATGCTGCTATTGCAGCTTTCTGCTTAACATCCATCACCTGCTTGGCTGCGTCATGTGCAGAGAGGGTTTTCTGGAAGCCTGCAAAATACTGAAGGTCCTCGGACCTCTTTAAACCATTTCTTGCTGGCGTGCGAATGATGCCAACAAAGCTCTCGTGTGAAGCAGCTGCTTGTTTTCTCCTGGAGGTATAGGTTATTGGCAAAGAATCTATTGGAAATCTTCAAGAAGTACATAGGTAATGAAGATCAGCTTCAGCAAGTTCACTTAAAAAAAATAAGAGTTTAAAATGCATCTAAAATGAGGGTTTTTGTGGTTGGTGTGTTTTTCTTTAAGAAAGCCATCTGAAATTGAGAAATGAAATGGCCTGTGAAATAATGGAAATGAGACACGTAAGCAGTGCAGAGGGACCTCAGGCTTGCTGAAGGTGTCAGCTGTGACTCCTGGCTGCCAGGAGCAAGCCTTGGGGTCAGCGGGGTGCGTGTGGTCTGGTAACGGGGACCTCAAGGCATGGGTTGGGGAGCAGGAGGAGGTGAGATGAGAGGGCACGGCCAGCTGTAGCACAGCTCGGTGTCTGAATGGGCTTGGGCAG